TGTGGATCACTATTGTTGACCACCGATTTGGTAATACACAAGCTATTCAAGAGATAAGCAGGATTACAGCCAAATCAACCATGATGACGGTAATTCCAAGTCATTTACAAGCATAAAGACATTTTATTTGTGAGACCAGAGTCGTTTGTAAAACTGGAGCCACATCTCTTCATAACTAACATGACGAGCGGTCAGAACCAACGTGACAAGCAACTTCGGTTGTCACCGAATTCCCAGAACCCCTCCACCGACGTGGTGATTGACCTCGGGTGAAACCGAACTCATCAAAACCGAAGCAGGTGGCGAGACGCCTATGCGACACCCTTGCATTCCGTGCACTATGTCATGATGATTTGCGGGCCAACTAACATAACCGCCTCTATAAAGATGCTTTATACCTTACGTGAATTATGAGCAAGCCTCGAGATGTCTGCATGAAAAAGTTACTATAAATAAGCTGAAATTTTCTCAGAGGAGGGAGAGAACACTCTGTTTCCACTCTATTACAATTCCTCTTCAGCTACGCATAAACCGAGTTGAGTTTAATCAATAAAATTCCCAAATTATCACAATTTTACGTTTTGAATCACGTAACTCCATACTAACTGTATTGTTACAAATCCATAAGACAACAATTTGGCCCTAGAGGAGGGGTCATAATTATTTGAGGTTAATCTTCGATATCCAGACGAAAACAACGGGGTTCCAAGTTAATGCCAGATAAAAAGGATTTCGGCACTGTGCCACCGTTATTTCAGCTCCGCAAGACATGTCTCAGTCAGGACAAGATCATCAAACTACTAGAGGAAGTGCAATCAACCCCAATCAACCTGCTGGCTTAATACAACGTCTGCGATACCAGACCTGGTAGCACTCCTTCAGAATCCAGAAGTTGCAAAGGGAATCACTGCTCTGTTAGCACAAGCTATTCCCGGCACGTCAAAGGCACCGTTAGGACCGTTCGTAACTCCGGTAATACCCGCTAGACCAGGTGCTAAACCACCGCCAGGAAACAACAACAATCATGCCGCGTCACACGCCACATCTCACCCTCGAGATAACAATCCTCAAGGTCCACCAGCGGGAGTTGCAGCCCCGCTGGAAGGGAATAATCTGCAAGAGGCGACGGCAGGGTCTCACTCTGGGCACGCCAGGAGAGCTGCCGCCCCTGTCCAACCATTACCTCAACAACTAGAGAATCCACTTGACTTACGGCATCAAATCGAGATAAATCGTTTCAACCGACGTGAAAACTCGAAAACAGAAATGTTGAGGAGAAGAGTTGTTGAACTCAAATTAGAAGCGCGACACACGATTCGGCTCCAATCCTGGCCCAACTTCCACTCTTTGGAACCAGGTCACGTGTATTTGGAGATCGAGTCGCCCTTAGCCCCTAAGCTGACTACGAGTCCTGTACCCGAAAAAGTTAAAGTTCCACAAATAGGATTGTATGACGGGACTTCGGATCCTGATGCGCATCTCGGACATTACACTTCTTGGATGGATCTTCAAGGTGCTACCGACGCTTTACGTTGTCGGATGTTTTCTCTTACCCTGGGGCCCCGAGCACAGAAATGGTATCATTCGTTGCCTCCTCACTCGATCTGGAAATGGCATCAGCTAAGGTCAACGTTCCGTTCGCACTTTATCGGAGCCCAGGTTTGTTTAATCCCTAAGGAGTTCATTGCGAATATTACTCAAAGGGATGATGAAAGTGTCAAAGTAATATGTTGCTCGCTTTAACGACCGAGTTCAGAATATGGAACCCTGTCACCTAGAGACACTGTTGGACTTAGCCATCGCGGGGTTAAAGCCGAATTCTGTATTTTGGTGGACTCGTTGTCAGAATAATCCGAATACTTTTCAAGAATTTCTTATCTGAGCCCAGCAACACATTATCGCCGAAGAGTCGATATCGGTCCCCGACTTCAATTTTTCCTCAAAGGAACCGAAATCCGAATCTGGGGGCCCGAAGAAGAAAAATAAGAAGTCCTTTGGTGAAAGCCGGGGATACCCCAATTCGGGGGCCTCTCAAAAGAAGATTTCAACACCCCCGAAGCTAAAGCCGCCAATAAGCAATATAGGGATGACTTGAAGTCAGGGTATCAAATTATTTACACGGCCGGGGCGGTGACCATTTATGAAGAATTGAAAGGGAAGGGAATTTTACCCGAGCCCAAGCCAGTCAGAGCATCTGAGGACCGACTAGATAAGTTACGATATTGTGACTATCATAAGTCTCCCGAACATAATACCGACGAGTATCTTAGTCACTTCGCAGCATTGTTGCGATTAATTGGTCACCCTCAACTCCGAAGATTCTCGAAGAACCCAGACATTCAAACATAGGGACGAAATTTCGAAGTTCTAGACGATGAAGACGACGATTGAGCTCCGAACCCCAAAAGGATCCGACAAGGCAACAAAGAAGTTTTCACCTTCACTTCAGAGGCATCTGAACACTCACCGAATCAAGACCATAAAGGAATGAAGCGAAGCCGATCTCCAAACCTCAACCGTGACACCATTCTGCAAGTTAACACGAGTCACGGAAGAAGGATCTTCTCACGATGTCAAGCCAAAGCCTATGCTCGTCAAGCTTACAATTCGGGGAAACAAGTCCTTACAAGTGATCTTAGAGATACAATAAACTCGCGAAATTGTCCAATTACGTTTAGCATAGAGGATGCTAGCCTCTTTGCACACCCACACTTCGACGCCTTGATTATTACTGCTCCCATTTGTGGCATACCCGTGCATCGAATCATGGTAGATACAGGGGCCTACTCAAGCATTTTAATGCTCAAATCCTTCGACAAGATGGGTATTGATCTGACTGAGATAAAACCGTGTAATGACAAAATTCAAGGGTTTAACGGGAGTGTTTCTTGTCCAATTGGAGAGATTACTCTGCCTATACGTTTTGGGGGTCCGGGACGAGCTTCGAAAGTCATAATAGAAACTTTCAAGGTTATGGACATCAAGAACGAGTACAATGCTATTATTGGAGGACTGCTCTTTACAAACTTCATGTTGCAGTATCCATCTATCATTACGCTCTAAAATTTCCAACAGCATGCGGAGAAGGAACGCACTATGGAGAGCAAAAAGAAGCACGTAAACTTATCCTAACCACACCGTCTGGTGAAATCCACACCATGAAACCCGCCAATGAAGACAACCATGAATCAGTTCCCATCTCGAAAAAGGAGACTACCGAGGTTGAAGAACCGGGGGCCGAAGTCCAGTCGATCCCGAACGAAATTGAAGATTATCGGATTGACCGAAGTCCTGGAAGACGACCGGGCAAAGAGCCCGTCCGAGGTGAAGACGAATTGGATCCCCAAATTCAATTTAAATAGAAAAGTCGAAATGACCGAGCAGAGCCTTGTGAGGAAGTAGAATTGGTCTACGTCGACGAACCGATATGTAAGAAACCATTGAGAATCGGTGTCAACCTTCAAGAACCGATAAAAACTCAACTCATCCACTTCCTCCGAAATAATTCTGATGTTTTTTCTTGGAAACACGAGGACATGAAGGGAATCGACCCAAAAATCGCCAGTCATAAGTTCAACCCTGATCGAACAGTGAAGCCCGTTGTTCAAAATCGAAGGAAGTTGGGATCTGATCGTAAAAAAGCCTTGGAGAAGAAGTTCAAAAACTTATTGATAACAAATTCATCAAAGAAACTAAGTACCCGACATGGGTGTCGAACCCTGTCCTCGTCAAGAAGAGTAATGGTTTGTGGCGTTTGTGTATTGACTTTTCCGACTTGAACAAGGCATGTCCTAAAGATAGCTACCCTTTACCGCATATCGATTATATGGTAGACGAGGCATGAGCTCATGAGTTTCATGGACGCTTATTCCGGATATAACCAAATTCCTATGGACCCCGAGGAGGCCGAGCACACGTCTTTTTACTCCGCCCGCGGTCTGTACTGGAAGCTGGGGGCAGAAGATAGAATGCCACTTTGATCAGCCAGTTGTTTAATACAGAAGACAGTGCCATGTTCTCAAGATCAACAGCCTTGATCCTAACAACAAAGACAGGTGGATTTGGAATAATGGAGCTAAGGAAGAGTTCTCAGTTGCCAAGGCATACTCAAAGCTAATGGAAGACAAGTTTAGAAAGTTTGATGGGGAAGAAGGAAGTCAGTCAACTGGGATCTTAAGGAAAGTCATAACCAAAACTTGGAAGCTCAAAATCAAAGGTAAGCTGAGGCATTTTTTGTGGAAGTTTTTTTCTGATGCTCTTCTTGTCAAAGTTGTGTTAAAAAAAAGAGGGTTGTTTATTGATGGCATTTGCCGGTCTTGCGGTGAAGACATAGAGACTATAGAGCACATCTTTTTTCATTGTACCAGAGCTAAAGAAGTTTGGAGGGCTGCTTCTGTTAACTGGGAGATTGCTCTAGGATCTTTGACTAAGTTCAGAACATGGTGGAGTGATGTCTGCTCAGTTAACAAGTTAGAAGTTTCTAATGATAGAATTGAGCTCACCACATATCTGTTGTGATGGTTATGGAAGACGCAGAACCTCTGGGTCTTCAAAAAGGAGTGGATGTCAACAATGTCCATTGTCAAGCTTGCAATGAGTGACTGGCAGAAATTTGCTGAGAGAAACAGTGGACAACCTTTGCAGAGGGGAAGAGAAGTCTAGATCCTTTGATTCAGTGGGCACTCTTTTCTTTTGGCAAACTTTCTTTTGCTTCTCATGTTATTTGTATTCGAAAGTGTGGTTAGTTCTTGTGTTCTCGGTTGGATTTTGTTTAGTGTTCCTTGCTTTGTCAATTTGTGTTGTTAATGAAGTACTAAGGGTGACAGTGGATTCACTGGCCTTAGTATGTGCAATGCTTCTTGTTTGTTTGAGTTTGTAGTAGTTGGATTTGGTTATTTAGAGTGCTCGGTTGTGGGCATTTCTCCTGTATTAGGGCCACTAGGTCCTCGGATTGTATCTGTGTGCATAATCCTCTATCGTTTCGAAAAAAAAAACCTACCATTTCATAATTCATATTATGGAATGGACCGTCTGTTTTCGTGTTAGAACGCAACAAATATGAAAAATGCAGCTTTACAATACTCGTCTATTCATTTCACTAAGCGATTACAAACTATGAGCAAGAAAATCCAGAGTACTTGAAACTTTAGGTGAAAGAAATGTAAAATTAAGATCTCGATTACGTGAGATTTGAGAATGGGCTAGCTCGGTTCAAAAATTACAGTGGTTCCCCTCTCATGAAAAGATAATAATATTACACACGAGACCATATACACACAAATCTCAGGTGGATTTATATAATAATTAATATAGGAAAAAACAGGGTAAATAGAAGGAATTGCAAAACTTTTGAGGACTCTAAGGGAAAAAGAATTGGATTGATGCAAGGGGGGGTTCATCCTATCTTTTCTAACACCTCCAACCTGGTTTTCCTTTTCCAGCCTTTCATAGTGGCTACGAGGTTGATAAGCCCAACAATTTGGTTTTTACTGTATTCCTGAAAATCAGAAAAGTGCGTTTATAGATTCACGCTGTTGCACGACAAAAGCAATAACAAGACATGATTCCTTTTATTTTTTATTTTTTTTTTTATATTTACAATACCGGATGGGCGCGGGACCAGTGAACATATTCTGTTTCTGGTAGATAGTAGGCCTGTTCATCATATGACAAGAGCGCAGTTAAAAACTAAATGAAATCAACAGTATTGTTTGCAGGGAAACTGATAATCAATCCATATATGGTGATAATTTGAGTAAGATAATAGCTATATATATTTTTTTTTTAAGTATCTCAAATTCTAGTCTAATAAAATGAAATCCAGGTGTCCTTCATAATTACCAATCCTGCACAAATATTGTTTCTATATGTCATATTGTTGCCTCAATAAAGGATCTCTTAAGAAGAGACAAACCTAATTGGGTCATGGATGTAACTTTGAATGATAAGTATCTTCTAATATAGAAAGAAAATCGTTTTTTGAAACCTCTATGGAGTCCCTGTATTACCACACATACGAGAGAGAGAGAGAGAGAGAGAGAGAGAGAGAGAGAGAGAGGACCTTGATAAAAGTTTCAACTATCTGCAATTTGGGTCGCACATCAATGGAGACGAAATGCTTTAGGCCATTTATTAAAACCTGAATCATGAAGACTCCATCAAATCAAAAAAAGGAAAATAAACCTGTAAATCATATCCATCTGAGCTTAAGCAAAGTGAACCTGTAGATCAAGCGACATGAGGGCCCGCCCCTCATCAGTACACCTTTTCACCCTAGATAGGCCCTCAATAAGAGTTTCGGCAACAGTTTCAATTCCGTATTCTAGGAGGAGGTCTTGAACCTGGGCTCACGGGAATAGCAGGTTGGGAATAAGGTACATATCAAGAAGTATAAATAATTAAATACCACTCTTTCTAATAAACCTTGTGCTTTTCAAATGCCACAAAATTTCTAGCCAAGGCAATAGAAAAGATCTAATAACTTGAACCTAGCTCATCATGAGAGAGAAGTTGCAAGTATACACCAAAGAGAAATAAATTATTAAGAAACATAATAATATCTAGCATCCAACTCAAGGTACGCTCAAGAACTGTACCACATATCCCTCGTTACCAAGCTCCATCACACGGTTTTACCAATGTGTAAACAAGCACAAGCTCATTATTGCATAATCATGCTATGAACTTTGACACCAAAAAGGTTCACAAGATAAAATCTGACAAAATTTGCAAGAAATATATTTGGTCAAGTTCCATCATATTTCAACGAGTGGGTCAAGTAGTATAAATTACCTCTTTCTGTATGTCCCCATGAGCAAGCCTTGTTTTGTAGTGCTTAAATTCTCCAAGTAATAAATCAACGTAGCTATTAACACAACACAACATTTAGCACAAAAAGATCATAAGAATTAATTAAACATACCTATTAACAAAAGATAGTGCCTGACTGATCCAATGCTAACGAATAGGTAGAATATGATTTGACAAGTTTATATTGTCTTCACCCAATTGTGTTTTGTACATATGCTACAGTGCTAGCAAAAAGTTCCTCAATTCTATTGCTGAAATTTCCCAACTGACCACAAAGATCTCATGTGCTCTTTTAAAGCTGGTTGATTTTACTCAAATACCATCAAGTATATGATGTATCAGCAGACTATCAAAATCTTGAAAACGACAGGATAGGTGTTCCCAAATGCATCTGAAGTGATTTGTTCATTCCCTTTCAAATTGAACAGTTTAGTCACCTTTGAGTTCTTTTCTTGACATATTCCCATTTTTATTTAGGTATTAAGTGAAAAATTATCAGGGTCATATTATGCTGACGATATGATTAAACTGTCGGCATTTAATTTTACAACTTCTGATTGCTGTGTATAAATGCTTTACTTGCAGTCCACCCTATGCAATATGCACAATGAAGCAGTAATTAACCAATATTTCTGCAAATAATACTAGGTACCAGAACTACTAAAGATTTATTTGAGTCATTTAGTGGCCAATTGTTTCTATAGTTGTTTCTTCAAAAGGGCTATTTAAAGGTAAATTCCAATTTTTATTTTAGCTAGAAAACGACTGAGCAAAAATAATTGTGGAATTACAGAAAGTACTCTGAAACTACACTAGTGGAGAACATGAATAGACAATTTACCCATTATGCTCCAATCCAAGCTCTTTCACCTCCCATTTAGCATTGGCAATGCGATCCACATACCTGTTCAATTTTCCAATCAATACCCTTTCAAAATGTTAGATGAAATATCAAATGCAACAAAATAAATAGAAGATATTTTCTTCCCCTAATTCATTGAGCAATGAGTTTCTCGCTACTATACAAAAGAAGGCAAAACTCGGTTTTCAAACTACTAAAAAAAAGCTGCAAGATTTTTATGAGCCAGGGCAATATAAAAAAAGAAGTACTCGAAATTTTTTATGTCGTGCTTATTACATATGAATTTCCCTTCTGCAAGAAGTTTTTCCATTCACATTCTTCTTCTCTCATTTTTTGGAGTTTCTCATTTTTTGGAGTTGTTTAGGCCGTGCTTGTTTATCAAATTTCTAGAAAAAAAACCAGAAAAAAATCTATCTCAATTCAAAATTTAACTCAACTTTTGTTCAATCTCATTATCCTCAATATTATCAATATAATTATAAAAATAATATCATTCAATCATTCATACACATTACATCAAATTCAATTCACTATTCCTCCACTCACATAATTTTAACTACCTATCATTTCCCATCATTTATCTCTTACTTTTACATCAAATCAATTTTATCATTTTATTTTAAATACTATTTTAATACATTCTTAAATTCTCACTAAAAACTAATCATATTAACTTTTTTTTCAAATAAACTCTAGTTAACGAAAAAACAACAAACAGTGTTTTTCTATTTTTTATAAACAAGCACGGCCTTACTTGCCCTGACCAAATTCATAGCATTGACAATACATTGATCATTCCTTAATTCTGGTGATAACTTATTCCTTACATTTAAAATTTGCTCTAATGACAAAAGATAAAACTAAAGGATTGTATGTGCACAAGCAACAAATTATATTATCCTCTTTCATCAACAATAGCCACATCCTCGATTAGTATTTCAATAAATTTAATTATAGAAGAGAACATAGAGATAATGTTCAACTTCGTTTTATGTCTCGCAAGTTCTCCAACTTTGCCTTTTCTTCCTAAATATTTATTTGAAAATTATAACTACATATGTTTAGCGCAGCAAAAATCTGGTCATAGTGTAAATTCGCCCTTGGCAAGATACCGCTTGATACTAATCATAGTTTTAAAACAAAAAAGAAGCAATTGTAGATTCAAGACTTGGGAGAAGTAGGAAAAACAGCAATGTAAAAGAATGATGCAGAATCCAGTAAACCATTAATGGACTCAAAAAGCAAGAATCCAATCCAAGATCAAAATGGATCCAATAAGAGCAGACTTTTTCTAATTAAATTGCATCAAAAAAAGAAAAGAGGGTGAAGGTCACAAACTATATATATTCGTGTGTGTATAAATATATAAACATATGTTAAGTATATTATATGCCAGTCGATATATATTAAAGGCCCCAAGTCTATATATAGGGACATCTTCATAAGTGAATGCATCAATTTTCCAAAACCTAAGTTTTGTACCATGGTATCAGAGCCACACAAAGATTTTTATTTTTTTTTCCGATCTCACCTCACCTCCCACACCAGTACCACTCGCCACCTCAGGATCAACTTTTCAGCCAAGTTTCACCGCCAGAATCCGCGCGTGTAAGCCACAAGCAGTGCCGAACTTCTCTTACGGCCATCACACGCACCGACGCGTGAGGTCGCGTGGCACGCCAGAATTTTTTCCAGCGAACGTCCGTGGGATCGGCATTCTGAGAGCTTGTTGCCAGTATTTTTCAGTTTTATTTGGTTTTCGTTTTGCCTTCTTCCAGATTCGTCAATTGTCGGGGTTAGGGTTTGTGTACTCCAATCTGTCCCGACGCTCGTCAATTTTAGTTTTTGGTCGTCACTTGTCTGTCGTGTAGTTCCTACGCGCCCGTCGCAGTACCTTCATTCATATTTCATCACGGCTCATCGCCGCTTATCGTGGAGGCATACCTATTGTCACACGTCGTTGAATCATGTCACAACTTCATTCCATTGCTATCAATATCACTCTTACTGGTGAGAATTATTGGGAGTGGGCTTTTTCGGTCGAAACCGGGTTGAGGGGTTATGGTCCACGTGACTAATGATGGTCCCGAACGAAAGGCAAATAGTAATGTTGTAGATATTAGGATTTGGCATATTAGTGACAGGAAATAGATGGTTACCATCGGCAACAATGTCAAATTGTCCATGATTATGAGTCTTTTTTCTTTTCTTTTCGAACAGCCAAGGGAATATGTTCCCATAGGATATTGGTGCACTCTTGCACACAATTATGCAACAAATTCACGTCAAAACGACATGTCCATTGATGGGTACTACTTGATGGGACCATTGATCTCCATGGTAGCTCATTGCTCGGCAAAGGAGTGTTCAGATCAATTTGATGAGAAGTTTTTTATTTTATCGTTTTGTCATGGGAGTTACAGCGGTTTATCATAGGAGTTAGAGCAGAATTTAAGGGCTTGATTGTTGATGAAATAATTTGTTCAAAATGAGTTATTTTAGTTAACCATAGTTAATTTTGAAAAAGGTGGTATAGTTAGTTGTTAGTAAAATTTTAAGAATGAATTAAAATAATATTTAAATAAAATGATTAAAATTGATTTGATGTAAAAGTAGGAAAATAAATTATTGGAAATGATAGGTAGTTAAAATTATGTGAGTGGATGAATAGTGAAATAAAGTTGATGTGATGTGTAAGAATGATTAGTTTGTATTATTTAATTATATAAATAATATTAAAGATAGTGGAGGTGAGTTAAAGTTGAGTTAGATTTTGAGTATGAAGTAAAGTTGAGTAAATTATTTCATAAACAATCAAGCCCGAAGTCCATTCGTACCCGGTTGCTTCATTATTCTTCTACTCTGTAAGCATTGTGGGAAGACGGGTCATAGTGCCTAAACAACTGTTTTACTCAACATCCAGAAAAGTTCGCTAAGTATCCTGTACGCCTTGCTACTCGAGCTCGTCGTACGACTTCCGCTACAAAGGGGTCCGTATCTGCAACCACCGCCTCTCCTCTAAATGCTCCTCAGTCTAAGGTCCTCGATTCGGGGCATCTTTTTATGTGACATTTGTTTAATCCCAGTTGGTTGCTTGCAAGGCGGTCATTAATGGTACTTCTACTCAGACAACTAATGGCACTTCTTGTCATATGACTCATAAGGGTTGTATATGCAATTCACATTTTTCACAGTACCTAATATCTCTTATGTTTCAAAGTTATCCATGAATATTCTTTTAATTAGGTCACTGATCAAAATTGTTTTGTTGGATATGATGACTCATCTTATTTTATTTAGGATCGTCGTTGTAGACGTTCTCTGAGTCTCTACATCTTAAACACCTTGCATCTTCCCTCTTCCACTGGTTCTACCGCTCGTGTACCATTTGTTGCCTCATCTTCCACCTCACCCTTCCCCAAGTGGCATCATTGTCGTCTTGGTCATTTGAGTGGGTCTCGCTTACATACTTCAATTTAGTACTGGTTGTTTAGGTTGTACATCTATCGAGTCTGGAGTTTTTGATTGTAAGGGTTGCAAGCTCGAAAAATAACTACAACTCCCACATACTACTAGTATTTCTCATTCTGCTAAACCTTAGATCTTATTCACTAATGTATGAGGGGTCCGTCCCTCTTTCCTACAAAAGATGGCAATAAATATTATGTTTTGTTTCTTTATTGATGATATATCATATACTTGGATTTATTTTCTAAAACATCGTTCTCAGTCGTGTTCCATTTACAAAGATTTTGCTCGCATGGCCCATACTCAATTTTCAGCTCATATTCTAGTTATTCGTTCTGATTGTGGTGAGTTCATCTGACAATTTTCGTTAGTTTTTTACCTCTGAGGGCACTCTTGCTCAACTCTCCTGGTGCACATGCTCTGGCTAGAAAACACTACCATTACCATCTCACTGAGACTGCTCAAATTCTTCTCATTGCCTCATTTCTTCCTTCTCATTTTTGGAGAGAAGTTGTGCCTACAGCTATTTATCTTATCAACCGACGGGCGTCTTCCAAACTATCTTGGTGAGGTACTTTTTTGTATTCCCCCTACATGATCATCTTTGGGTTCTCGGATGTACATGCTATGTGTTGTTTGCTCCTCAGTTGGTTGAGTGCATCTTTTTGGGGTATAGTCGTGAGCATAAGGGTTATCGTTGTTATGATTCTTCCACTCGTCTCATTCATATATCGCGTGATGTAACATTTATCGAGGATCGCCCTTTCTTTTATAACCCTTCCACACCCCAAATCTTTTTCTTCAGAGTCTATGTATTTCTTATGTCTCCCTCCTATTTAATGATGTTCCTGCCTCTTATCGATCTCCCTTTGTCACAACCTCTTAGGATGAGCCTCCACCACCTATTTCAGATGAGCCTCCCTCTTATAAACCACTTATCACACAGGTGTATAGTCATCGTCCAATAGGTTGCACAATGTTTCCGCCTCCTTCTCTAGTCTTTCATGATCTTATTCATTATGATGTGTCACATGTTATTCCTAGAGTCTCAGTTTGGTCAAAGATATAATTTATGTGATTGGCTATTATTAAGCCTCCTGACATCGGTTTGGTCAAAGATATAATTTATGTTATTGGCTACTATTGAGCCTCCTGACAAGTTGGGTTTTCCACGTGTGAGTGCTACTATTCATAAGTCATCCACTTATCAAGAAGCTTCGCATATTCCGAAGTGACAACTTGCTATGTCTGGGGAGTTTGCTATACTTGATCGTACTGATATTTAATCTTAAAATTCTTGTTGCACTCTTTCGTTAGCCCTATTACTGATAGTCGGATATCGGCTACACCTATGATCTTCACTTGCAGCTTCGTCTACTAATGGTAGGCCTCTTAAGGATGCCTCTCGATATCGACATATTCTGCTGGTTTATCTTACCTGGTAAGACTTCGCTCATGTTGTCACATATTAAGTCAGTTTGTGAGTGCACGTAACTCAATTCACTTTGGACATTTGCTTGGTGTGTTACGGTATTTAGGGGTACGTCATCTTAGTGTTCGTTTTATGCTTGTGACAACTCGCTTTAGCTACATGCTTACTCCGACACTACTTGGGCGAGTAATCCAGCAAATTGTCTCGTTAATGCATTTTCTTAGTTCTTTTGCTCTTTTACATGGAAGTCCAAGTCCAATAAGCAGGCCGTTGTAGGCAAAAACTTCGAGCACTTGCCATTACTACCACTTCAGAAATTATATGGATTCGATGGTTGTTAGCTGATTTTGATTTTGATATTTCATGCGATGCTCTTACACTTCTTCTTTGTGATAATACTAGAGCTATACCAATGATTGAAGCATGAGCTTACAAAACATATAGGTGTCGATGTTTCCGGTCTCATTGTCATCAAAAAACATTTGTTCTTCGGTATGTGCCCTCAGAACTACAAGTAGCATATTTTTTCACCAAAGCACAAACTAAGAAACAGCATTGGCTTCACTTGCTCAAACTCAATGCTTCGATCCTCCACCACCTTGAGTTAGAAAGGGGGTGTTAAGTATATTATAGCCCCAACCCGTATAAACTAAATGCTCTAGTCTATATGGGCATCTTCATAAGTGAATGCATCAATTATCCAAAACCCTAAGGTTAGTAACAACTTTCATGTGCAGATAGACTGTAAGGTATATATTTCGTAACCAAAAGAGTTTGCATCAATCACTTAAGGTAATGATTGACTAGCATGTATCATCGTGACTAACCCATTGATATGGAGTAGCAATTTTGCAGTTGTTCTATGTATGAGCTGAGTAAGATCAGGCACAGCATCCACCTGTCACAAAATGGCCAGTCAAACAACTAAACACAATAAGGCGGCGCATCTACGAATAGGGAAAAGACAGAATCACTATTTTCGGGAAATTGTATCTTGAGAATGATGCAGCATGAAAATGTTATGCAAAGATAAAGCACAATAGAGTTTTGCAACAATGGTAATGTTCCACGGCATGAGGAAGAAATGATCAATGATTAACAAAACAGTGTGATGCTTGTGGGTGTGCAAAGCTAGAAACTGCTACCATTTTCAAACGTGAACGCTAATATTCGAACTTAATTAATCATTTGAACAAATGGATCTTAATTATGGTTATCCCATATCATTCTGTCAAACGTACCAGATGAGCATAGAAGTCATCAACCACAGCCCCATTGTTCTGCAGAAACCTCGACTGGAGATGAGACTTAGATCTATACAATAATTGAGCAACCAAAGATATTGTGTCGGCCGCCGCACATCTCTCCTGCAGCATTATGCAAGTGCAGGTAGCTACAGTAAGTCATAATGCAATAGATAATCAGAATTATTTTACAATAAAAAATATTTTAATTTGTCAAAGTAGGACACATTAACACATAATAAGATTATTGTTCAGGTCATTATTGAAGCATGTGTCCGTGAGTACCAATATGTGGATACGCATATATTTTCCAGTATGGAGGCATATTAGAGCGTTCTGATGCTAGGAGAAAATACGAAAACAAACAGATATAGACTACAAATTGTACACCTTCCCCATTAATTTCTCGTGAGGTGTTAATTAAGGCTCTAGAATCAATTTGGTAATTACAATCACGACAGAATAACTCAATAGCGGATTCACGTATACCCTTTAGGGTGGCTATTTAAATTAATTGATTGAATCTTTCACCTGTCACTCTGTCAACGTTGAAGGCACAATTTTTAAGTTTATGAAATTTACAGCAACAACAAATTTAGTTCACATAAATTGGGTGAGTTGAGGGACATGCTTTGTTAATAACCATTCAGCAAGCACAGTTACAGCATACAGCCAACTACATACTAATGTACGCCGAAGGTATAATTTATAACAAATTTGAACCTGGAGAAGGGCAAAATCAAGTATTAGAAAAAAAAACGGATGAAATGGACAAAATGATGTAAACTAGACCACTCCATGGCCTGCAGAAACTTTGCAAGGAATGCTGCAAGTTAGCAATAAAACCTGTGGAACCTACTCAAAGTGTCATCATCATTCAAAACAACCTACAGAGACAAACCGCATAACATTCTTGAAGCTTATTATTTGAAAATATATGTAAAAGGTCGTTAAATATAATTGCCTTTTGTTTTTGCAAAAACATATGAAGAAAATCAGAGAACATAAAACCGTATTTGATAGTCACCAAGCAAAAACCCATTCATGCACATTTGTCTTATTGTCTTGCTCCATTGGCTTAAATACCTTGAGCGAAAAGGATGTATGATTTACGTGACTTGCAGGACTGGTAGGAGTTACATCCACATGACTGAATGGTGCACCTGAAGAAGTTGGGGACGAAGAAGACACTGAGGTAGGCTGTGGTTTAATCCACTGGTCACAATCTTGTGTGATTCTTGATAATGCAGCCTTTAGCTTGTCTGGCGAAGGGGCATAAAACAAACATGCTGTATCAATTTTCATTTCAACTCACACACACAGAAATGCTAATGATATCAAAGTCTTACAAATACTTACAAGGAATAGAGTCGTGTAAACCTTTTCCACTAGGTTGAGCATTATGCTCACAGAACGACTCAAATACAAAGTGGAAAAAAATCCCAAACAACTGGCAAATTCCCTGTTGGAACATTAAGAATGCTATTATACTGAAAATATGAGGCAGACAGATTAAAAATAAGGAAATGCAAATACACTTATATCAAGATAAACGGTAGAACAGCTAAACACCATGTGCTAATTAGAGAAATTAACATACACGAGCCTACCTTAAAGAACTCAACATTGATGATTTCTAATTTCTGCATCAGTCTTGCATATTTGTCCATCAATCTAATTCATAAAACAGCATATAAAGCTTAATGATATATGAAATTTTGACATTTCACAGACTCAAAGTTGACGTATCTAGGGCTCACCTGAGGAGGCTAAGAGAAGATCCAGTTTGTGCTGTCAAATCCCCATCATTCCCACGTAAAGAGTTATGCTTTGAATGACTTGGTTTGAATATTCGACTAGGAAGCTGACTATCTTCATCAATAAAATCAGCATGGAGATCTTCATTTTCATCCTCTGAAATCGCCCCATTTATATGCTGTTCATCACCACTTCTTGAAGAAGTCCTAGTTTGTTGAGTTCTTCTATCATTATTTTGAGCTTCTTGTGTAGCCAAACCATTGGGGTGAAAGAAATCGGAATAATCCTCAGAACTGCCACTCAGTTTTGACCGAAAAAGGTTCCCATTTCCTTGCCAATAGGAGAACCCACCCTTCTTTGACCCATTAAGAACTGTACCAACAGATCTGTTGTCATGCACTGATCTGGCACTAGGAGCTTTGTCAGATGAAACTATGAGAGCGGCTCCATCACCCACCAATCCTGGGAAACTAACTACTTGAATTGTATCTAGTGGCAATATCTGCCAAGTCTCCTTCTCCATTACCATTTTTAAAGCCTGATGATGCAAGTCCACGATGAATGTGAATAAAATAGGGAACTTGAGCAAAGAAAACATATGGACATAATAAATCAACATTTTCACTTTCATGAACAAATGTCGGTAGAGGTTGACTAAAAAAATGTTGTTGTGGATGATAATGACGTGAAATAGCATTTGGGGGGCATTGGAAAAACCAAGTAAAGCTCGAGTACATCAAGTCATAAGACTAAACTTATGCCATACATCATACCCAGAAACTAAACGCTCGCGCAAATGTAAGTACATCAAGTAATCATGTAAACCCCAAATAATTGCTCTGAATTAGTAGCAGAAGTCCAGCGAGTTAAGACTTACATATATATTCTGCCGGTGAAAAGCAGAAAAATAACCTTCGCAAATGGATTTGAGTTTCTGGCGGAATTCAATTGCTTCTGCCCCACAAAAAGCTTCCCCAGCAAGGATAAAGATGCTCAGATCTTCATAATTTCTCAAAAATTGATGAATGCTGGAGGAATAAACTGCTGGGGATGACAGCAAAACTGACACACGGCTCGTTGTAAGCTGCCAAAGGTTCCTACGTCCCCTTTGCAAGGCATGCGAAACAAAGGTCACTGCATCTTTTCGTAGTAAGAACCAAGGGGACCCACTGCTTGATGCTTCGCTTCCATCATCTCGTCCCTCATCAGTTGGATGATCGGTGAACTTGGATCTGTCGGTTTCTGTAGTATCAGAAATAGAAGGAAACCCTTTTGATGGTACTGTGGCTGAGGACGAAGGAGATTTTCTATCAGTTGATGCAGGACCTGAACCATCTTCTGGCAGAGAAGTACTAGAAACTTCTCTGCCCGAATCATACGGGACTCTAGGTAAGTCGGCATGCTGCTTATCATGGCAAGTTGACACCTGTGAAAAATAAGAATCTTTAAGAAAGCATATAGAGTTTCTATTATTGATGAGACGATTCAAGCGAAAGCCTAAAATCTAAGAGGCCTATTTTCGTATCTGCATACTTAGGGTCCCAGTTGACATGTGGGAATTAATAATCAACTACCAAAGAGTTACGAATGCAGTTGTAAACGAAAAAAATAACCCAAAATAGAAATTTGTGTCAAGGTAAAAAGGCGAGCAACTTTTGTTAGATTTATAAGGGGTGCAGTCCCATAGAGGTGAACCGCACCTTAAGAGGGTGAGCTTAGTTGCCACCTTAGTGAGGTTCCATTCCATACCAAACCAATTGGTGATGGGAGGTGTAGCCCACTAGGCTTATAAACTAGCCCATTTGCCCTATAGAATCAATGTGGGCAACTCACAAGTTATATTCATACACACCCCCACTTATGAGTCCTTATATACCATCCTAGATGAGGCTCGATTAGTAGAGTCATAACAGGTACTAGGAGAAGTAGTGCAGTCCCTAGAGGTGAACCGCTCATTAAGAATGCGAGCCTAGTTGCCACTTTAGTGAGTTCCAACCCAAAACCAATTGGTGATGGGGGGCGAAACCCATTAGGCCTATAAACAAGGCCCATTTGTACTATGGAATAAATGTGGGACAACTCACAAGTGATATTCCAACAACTTTTATGCTCCAATAAATTAGAGTAAAGGAGATGAAATGGGGGAGAGGAGAGGGGAGAGAAAACCATAATAACCAAACTCACCCTACACATGCACATGCAAACAAACATGCATGTTTTGAGATTGGCAAATCCGAAGGATTAGGAGGCTTGCTAGCACCATCTATAATGTGAATGAGAATAAACTATAACTTGAACCACATTAAGAGGTCCAAAAAAAGAGGAACGGACACTGATAATNACTAAGAATCTAGAGCAAATGATGAAAAATGCAAATCTAGAGAGAAAAATCGAAACTTTGGTCTACCGGAATCTACACGACTCAAGAAAAAGAAAATAGGAGAGGACCAAAGTATGCTCAAAACAAACATTTGAGCTAATTGAGACAAGTGGGCCAAATCAGTTCAATTGCTCGAATTCGGAAGTAAAATGGTAAGCATTATTTGAATGGCAAAATAAAATACCTCAAGGTGACCCCAGAATACTCATTAAGATCAGGCCATGACAAAAAATATAGTTTTATTGCCAATACATTCTCTTAAAAATTAATCAAGTAAAAGACAAGCAACGCTGTTCAGATCAAATCATTTACCCATAGTAAGTTTTCAGAGTAAGCATAAACAATGTCCTTCAAGGTACCTGTGGTGGAGGTAAGGGGATTCTTAAGCAAAATAGCTTTCACAAGAATAGAAGAAACTTTACTTAAACAATAGAGACAAGATATGGCAATAAACGAGATATAGTTATCTAATAGTCGTTATCAAAGTGAACTTTTTTATCTTGAAGATTTTAATGGGATTACGTCATAAACACTAGGAACATAATTCCACTATTGTAACCAAGCAAAGAAAATATGAAAGGATGAAATACAAAACAGGTGGGTAAAGACTTACTTTTTCTTCTAGTTGGAAGCTCGTTATTGCATAATACGAACACATCAGCTTAAAAAGAACACCTAGTGTTGCAAGCAAACACTGCCGAAACTTGGATTCAGGTATCCGAATGCACAAATCACTGTATGTAAGCCTGGACAGGGGAATTAAAGCCGGACCATATAATCACAGTCGACTATTTATTTATTATACATGTGCAAATAATGAGTAAATGATTGTAAGGGTCGAAAAAGGAAACCCAAAGCATAAATAGCACTTTTGCAAACCTCGATAGATAAAAACGTACCTATTAATGTGCAAATTGGGATTTTCAACATCCTGCAGAAAGTCAAGATCTAAATTTCAGGCATATGCTAATGTCAGAATGTCATATGAAAAAAGTAAGCAGAATCCAAAATCTGTAAAGTTCGAACGGATATCCGACATACAAATAGTAAAAGATTTAAGGTTCTAGAAGTGGTAAGTTATTATTTTCTTTATGCGCTTCGTCCAGATACATGCATGAACAGTGCCATTCATCAGACTAGTGATTGTCAGGTGGTGACTTCCACGTGAAGATCACAATGTGGTTTGGTAGTGATCATACGGATTTAGGCTGTGAATGATCGTAACAGAATATGCAAAATGTTCCCGCAATAACTTAATTTAACCAACACTGAAAGTAAAAATCTTCAAGAAATGCACTTTTTACTCATCAACTTAACAATCATTAATCACATTGAATAATTAGTTAATAAGAAAAAATAAAGTTACCAACTATTATCATTATAAAATTATGACACAAACACCATTCAACTTTCTTACTTATTGACTAGAAAAATCCACCTTACTAAATGAATATGACATCAACCGTCATCAGCATATTTCCGTCATATATCCAACCACCCTCTTAAAATTTGTTCTCGTTTTCCCAACAATATTTATTTACAGTATTTTATCCAGAAACATAAAGGAACGGACTCCCCCGAAGGATAGAAAAATTAGTGGCACTATTATATTTTGCCCTTTCCGTTGCTAACTATTAGCTCAATTAGCTAGTTTAATCCCATATACCAAGACTTGACTAATACTTCAGTGAAGTATGCAAATCATACCTCTTGCAATATGATCCTTAATTCAGAGTGACTTTCAGACAGAACTTCCTGCATGAAAAAGCTTTGAATCTTTTCAGCTAGACCAGAAACATCACCAATCAGTGCATACGCATCAACTACCTGCAGAAGAAAATATATAAATCAAGTTCAATCTAGCATTGAAAGCGTATTACATGCCTGTTTGCTCGTGAACATGAACCTGACATTTCTTAGTAGAAATGCAAAGGATTTGAAACTTTTTTATGGCTTCAATGATTCTTTTATGGAGCAAAGGGAAACCTGTTCTCTTTAGGAATCCGATATAAGTAAACTTATTTGGTTGCAGATCTAACGAAAATTAAACAGAGAAGTAGGGCTTCTAAGAATTATGTTCGAGTTCTTGCAAGGATATAACAACAGACGAATACACATGCAAATGACTTCATTAAGCCAAAGGAGAGTGTAGAATGCATGTCAATATGAAAATGCTAAAATACTGTGATGCGTCACATAGGCAGCAATGGGTAGATTGAGTGCTATGTGGGGCTTTCTGAAATACAATTCATCGTGAGTAAAAGCAGATTTAGAACTAACGGTGAGATAACCATCCTCTTTGAAGTCCCGGCACACTTCCAATACAAGTGAATCCAACTTTTGCAGAGTCCTTCCTAACCAAACCTGGATGACATTTACATATTGGAACCAGTGAACAAGTTCATGCAACCAATGGAGAGGAAAGAGAAACTTGTTTAAAAATATTTGGTATGACATAAATAAACAACAGAAAAATTTATACAAATAGATGAGTGGCACAAGAACCAAGCTAAGTAACAAACATCATTTATTCTTTTATTATTTTTGGGAAGCAAAATGTATATAATCACTTAATTCACCTCAACACCACGGTTCAAGTCTTGCACTGCAGAGAGATCTGACAGTCTATCCAAAATTTGCAAATATTCAGGAAGGACTTGGAAAGCCTGAAAATATGTAGAGCATAAATGCAAAAAAAATGTTTCGAGTACATCAGGAAGCAATAGGGGAAGCACAACTCTGCTTGGAACAAGTTATATTATAATAACAAATAAAAAACTAAAATAAATACTATTTTTTCTTTTTTTTAAAAAAAAAAATAAAGGACAAGAACAAAAGGAGAGGTCCTTTCCTAAATCTATGGGAAAAACCCGAGTCATACCTTTGAGAAGTTCCCTTCATCAACACAAGTTTCAAGAGACACTTGCATGTCTACTGCATGAGATAGCTCGGTAAGGATGGGGAAGATGTCCTGCGAGTCAAAATAATCTAGATAATCAAATATCACTCTGTGACAATTAACAATCAAACACATGTGAAATGCTTAAAATCAGAAAGGAGAAATGAAAAGACAGAATAATAAGAAAAAAATAAAGAAGAGAAGTGCGCTGCTGTCCATCTTGTCAATTCAATTTTGAAAGGAAATGACAGGAATAAACTCCACGTGTTACCAAAAAGATTGAGTTGTGCCAAGACCCAAACATGTAATCATTTCATTTCATTTCTTGCCTTTCTATTTCAGTAAAGTTGGAAAAATCATGAAAAGACATGAGCTAGTTCTAGTTTCGTGGAATGACGTAGTAATCATCCTTGAACTTATCCCCTCACTCCTTAATGCTATAGTCAAAATGAAACTGAAATGAACTATGAGATGCATGTGTAATCAATAAGGTTAATAAAAATAAAAATTAAAAAAGACCAGCAAAGACATTCAAGCTCTGTATAATAGCTGTGGCCACAGAAACATTGCATTTCTGAAAATTCTAGAGGAAACGTTTTCACTAATGCCACAGTCACATTTGGAATTCTTCAAAGGAACAATGAATTAAACCTAAAACAAGAGTTTGAAGAAACCCTTCGTAGAAAAAAAGCTAATGTATAGAAAATTATAATCAAGATGCAGAAAAAACAATTTGTACTAATTTTCAGGTAATTACCAGAAGAGCTTGTTTCCTTTTGGAATTCTCTGTAACAACGAGGTCCCTAGAGACCTCATTCCTTGACGAGGTAAGGTGCCTTCGACCGTTCTGCAAAAGACCATACAGTTAAAAACATTGAAATCTTAGTTTTGCAATTTATATATCATCTGCTGATTGTTAATAATTCTCCATACACTTCCAGATCAATGTAATAGACATGTTCGATAAGATAGATGTACCTGTTACAGTATGCTGGGTGGATCATAACAAATAAAGAATATGCACGCGCTATGTTGACAGATTATATGTGTTAACAGATAAAGTGGTCAAGTCCGATTTTTCAAGAATTTAGTATTTATGTATTTCATAATCCAGATAATATGAACAAAATTTCGGGCATAGATTCATGTATACCTTCCTGTACATCTTCCATAAAAGACAACCAGGAAAACACAGCAAGCATTGAAAGTAATAGTACTTCCAATACTTACAATTGGCAAAAAAAATCACCTGCTTACCATGCAAATAACATTTGCAATCTTCAAGTCCTTCTCTAATTCTCTTACCAGATTCATTCCCTTCACTGAAACAATTATTAAACAACTAATCATGCGTGTAAGAAAAGCATAAGCAAAACACTAGGCATCAAATGGGGCAGAGAGAATGCAAAAATGCAGAAAAAAGAAAAAAGAAAAGAAAAAAAGAAAAAAGAAATGAGACGTGACCAATCAATTCCATAGCCACGCTAGAAAGAAATGTAAGCTAATTTGCAAAGTGCCAGAGCTAAGGATGCAAGATTTGAAGGAGAAGTTCCACATAGAAAATACACTTATTCCTCACCAGAATATCAGACAGGATGAAAATATGAGGTGAAAATCGCATAAACTGAAGCCGATCAACTTTATGAATTAAAGAAATGAATATATATGAGTGAGATTAACTAACCCAAGCTTACTCCACATGATAAATTTGGCTCATCTTTCAGGGATGTTGCAAATTAGATGTAGGAGAATGAACCAGACAAACATAACAAAAGTACAACATAAGAAAAGCTTCACCAGGTAGGAAGCAATGATAATTTCCCAAGGTATTGCGGTAGACAAAGCATGTTATATGACATGAAACCAGAAGAAGTTGAATGCATCTTTATACCAGAAATTTGCCACCCAGGGTACAAACTCCAAAATACAATTCTCGAAGAAACTTGGAAAGAGTATTATGGTCTACATAAAACCATAACAAAGTAAATAGAAAGTATGTATTTGAGAAAGGAGACTAAAACCAATGCACATATTCTAACAGCAATCTTGCAATAAAGGTACAGCAACTACAATTTCCAAATTATGTTCGGGTTTTTGCGAGAAATCTTGAGCAATGAGGAGTGTATAACAGGACTTCCACTTGCATAGAAAAGTACAGGACCATTGATTATTGAGATGCAAATTTTAGGTAGATTAAATGGTGTTCATCACTCTTAGTCGTCCAATGAAACAAAATTTACTTGAACATTACTTAGTCAGCTTATAATAGATAAGAATGACATAGCTAGCTAATTTCATGTACTGTTCAAGGCCCATTGTCTTAATCAACTATCCAAGAACAAAGTGAGAAAAAGGGATAGAGAAAACAGAGAAGATGCAAGATATGACACTTCAAAGCGTTTCCTGATAGTCTGAATATAGTCAAATGCGTTCAGGTGGTAAACCTACCCATTTCTTCATGATGCTCCATAACATGGTGTGACAAGCGCTCAGAAATTTTATCCAGTTGTGCCAATCGAAGAGCAGCCTATAAAAGAATGCAATGCAGATTGATCTGTAAATTGATGGATTGATAAGATGTTTAATGCACTGGTAAACAAATTAAAAGCATAGTTATGAAAGAATGAAACCACTCAAAAGTCCCAACTCCTCAAAACCAATAGAATGAACAGTCCGACAGTTCCACAGAGCAACAACTAAAAAACACAATGATCCTCTTATTTTTAGATTAATCTATGTATCTACCAAGAAATCAACAAGGGATAGAAACAAGATCATTTATTCAGCACAAGAAAATTGATCTTAGTCCAATTGTCTGTCATCAGTGTACAAGTAGAGCATGAGGTATTACTAAAAACATACACTAGAGGCACAGATATGAATACATGCTTGGAAAATATGATGCATGCATCTGCCAGGGGATGCCTCAATATTCATCTGAGTACTCCGTACACGAAAAGAAACAAATAATAAGTAGATGAAAATAATAGCCCATAAACACATATAAAATTCATTTGGATAACACAAGCAAGTAATAAACAATGAATGTAGCATACAGATACTTCTGTTTGCTATTAAGCCATGGATAACAAACAACCTAAACAAGAAAAAAACAAAGGAGACAAAAATGGCATGGAGAACATAATACCTTTTCCTCAAAGTAAGCTGCTTCATTTTCTTCAGAGGGAATTTGTTCTAAAATATATCTAACGGGGTCAAAATCCTGTCAAAGAATTTAAAAAAAAAAAAAATGTGCTGCGTTGATGTTTAGTGTGTTATTCTTATTAAGAAGAAAGAAGAAAACCAATGAACAGGAAATGCAAGTATACCATAGAAAGACCACAGAAATTACACCAGCTGCAATATATGTACGAATAAGCACAACCAGATTAAGTACATATCAAAGATCTTATAGAAATGGAATCCCATACTGTTTTTATCATTGAAATACACTAATTTAATGCCCACGTCATGTCAGCTAGTGAATACGTGTGATCTAAAAGTTTGGAAGCAACTGTAATTATTGAAACGTTTAATGATAATAGCTACAATAAAAGTAGTGAAGAAGAAAAGTTTATCTTATTAAATCAATAGTAAACAATTTGTAACCAATGACAGCCTGCTAAATGAAATATTTATCCAGATTTTTACCATTATACAAAATAATATGATCAAAGTAGAATTTTGAGTGGCAGCCTCCTCACATATGAACAGACGTAATAATCCTAGTGAATGTTTTAAGCCTATCGTTGCATCTAAAGGCCTATTAAATTGTAAACCACATATTGTATAGAGAGAGAGAGAGAGAGAGATCATTACAACTCTTTGAACTTTTGTTATACCAATCGTTTTGAGTTCAAATCTTTGAGACACAAAAAATAATAATGCCACTAGGAATAACAAATAACCTCCTCATAGAATTCCCTCTCAAGCTCATCAACAGTTTGACCTTGAGGTTTGCTCCCGTATATTGAACTCAATTCTTCAGAGCTTGAAGAGAGATTATGCCTCTGATGTGGTGGTAGACCAGCAAGAACACGAGCTACGGCTGCTGCAGCCGCAGCTCGTGCTGGAACCTGAGAAACAATAAGCGAGTGTAAAAAGTATGAAACATTGTAAAACCCAAGATAGCCATGACCAATAATTATTTCTTTCAGAAAGGGGTCAGGAAAGTGATTGAACATTCAATACTTGTGTTGAATTAAGTTGGCGCTCTCAGTCTATTAAGTAATTATTCAGGAATTAGAAGCCACCACATTGTAAATAACGGTGAAAGGAAAACCAGGATTCTTGAAATACAAATTACACAAAATAACTTAAATGCTATCCCATTCTTATTCCGCAGGGCGCCATGTCAAGCTAAACAATTAAGCATAATCATAGTGGACTCCACATGATAGACTTGAGGATGAAATATTTTTATCCTTACTAGTCACAAAATAACATGAATTACAGAATCGAGGTTGGGAGTCACCATAGCATATAGGAAGCATATACTGTAATTCATTACTTCCATAAAAAATTCCACACCCTGCTATGCATACATAAAACATCTGCATGATATTACCTTTTGGAGCAACCACAAAAAAGTAAACTTCACATACTCATCACAAACACCTCCATTACCAAAATCAGAGACACTAGCACCAGAATCGCACACGTGATCATCAAACACAGCTAAATATTATCACAACAGTCCATGATATTCACCCAGGGACAGAAAATTATAATACCTCGGGACGATCGGATGTGGAAGGCAGGAGACCAAGTGAGCGGGCAGAGCGTACGGAGCTGAAGATCTTCTCTCCGACCTTGGACAGGTCCATGCCGCCTCCTTCACGCGAGAAGAGCAGCGATCCCAGGAACAAGTACCTGGACAATTCGAACCCTCCCTCCCGGAAATCGCTGACACCGCCGCCGGCGGCACTCAAGAGCAGTAGCGGGCTGAGTGGAAACGGCAGCGTCGGTGGATTATCACCGGGCTGCATCTCAATCACGCCAACCCTCCGCCAGACACTGAATCACGCCGTCTCATTGCCGCCGGATCAGATCGGAGATGATATAGCAATGGCAGTCGGAGTCACAGTGGTGTGTGTGGGTGTGTGTGATTTGCTTGGTGGAAGTTTGGGGATGGCTTTTGCTGTAATTGTTCCCGTGGAGACTTTCCTTTGTTTTCCCTTTTTTTTTTTCTTGGGTAGATCTCAACTTCACAAGTTTGACGAGGGAATTGCCAACTCAACATTAATAAAACTGGCTTTATGACTATTTTTGTTGTGTAGTTTCATGAGAAAATCGGGGAAATGAAACTTGTTTTATTTTTCGTATTAATTGTTTTTTTATTGTCTCTGTATATTTAAATTAGTAATATTCTAATAATGTGCACATCCACTAGCGGGATGGGTTATTTTTAAAAAAAAAAATATCTGTGGCAAAAAATAAAAAAAAATTATGAAAATAAATCAAACGGCCGAATTTAATAAGAATAATAGGTCTAATTTATAAATCGGATTTTCAAAATTCATTCTTAATGTAATATTTCTTTTTTGTTGTTTATGAATGTTTAAGATATATATTTGATTAATTGAGTATTGTTTAGAAAATCTTGAATGTTGGTTTAATAGTTGTATTAAATGGTTATAATTTGTTATTTGCTATTGTTTAGAAATCTTGAATGTTGGTTTAATGTATGTTGAATATTTATCCGTATTGTTTATGAATTTTATGTTATTGTTGGATTATGGTGATTAGGGTTTTGGTGGTGTTTTTGATAAATTAATTGACAATTTTTTTTTTTTTGTTGGAGTAAAAATATGTTTAATTATATGTTGTTGTTGGAAATGAGTTTTAAATTTAGATTAGTAAAATAAATTTTCTCGGGTGTTTGATTAGCCATTATGTGTTGTTGTAATTTGTAAAATAAAATTTTTTTTGTGCAACAGGTTATAAATGGCGTCTAACGGTCCCTACTTTGTTAATGTGTACTGAAAAATTTCCCAGAGTGAGTTATGGAATTTTTCGAATTATATGTCTCGTCCGGATTGTTCATTTGTTATTAATGGAATAATATCATATGAACAATTGGTAGATATGATTTACGAAAATGGTGGGTTTCGTGATAGTTGGACAATTTCGGATATTACTTAAATGGCCAGACAACTGGATCGTTCGTTTATTCCCGGAAGACTGAAAAATGAAAGTGCTCTTTCGTGGATTTACTTTTTTCCTCCTATGTCCTATGTGTTTTTGTATATAGTGTTGAAAGCAAACACACAGGTTACACAGGTTGAGAATCCTATGCCATCATATAGTTACGGGGGAGTGTTTGGTGGCGAGGGTACGTGGACTACGCATGCCGGTAATTTTGGTGAAGGGACGATTAATTTCGGCTAAGGGACGAGTAATTTCGGCGAAGGGACGAGCTTTACCATGAGAGGACCGGACATTGAGGAAGAAATTGTTGGAAATGAAGATTTCAGTCCCGGGGAAGACGATTTCACTGATGAGACCTTGCAAACCGAATCGGACAGATCAATTAATGAGGAGAGCAAACAAGAATTCATTGAAGAACACCCCTTTCCAAATGAAGGCCTCCACGTATATCTCGAGATGGGTGAGTGGGACTCGTCGTGTGTAGACAGGGACGAGTATGCCTTGTCAGTCTGGAATGGGCATGTCGAGACTATCCGTTTGGGTACAGTTTTTCGTACCAAGGAAGAAGCTCGGACTGGTATTCTGGCCTGCAATGTTGAGAATCTTAGGGCGGTCCGGACAAAAGATTCCAACAAGAAGTCGTTCAAAGTTGTGTGCAGATCAAATGAAGTTGTACCATGTATATGGAACGCTCGGGTGAGTCTTAACAAACGGGATCACGACATGTGGGAGGTAACCGAATGGACCGATAGCCACACTTACATGCAGGTGTTCGAAAGAAATGACCACAAGAATGTGACCACCACCATGATCTCAAATCTTCTGTTGGTTAAGATTCAGAAGCAGGTGACCTACAGTGTGGAAATGGTCCAGGCCGACGTAAAAAGCGCCTGGAGCGTCGATGTCAGCTACAAGAAGGCGTGGCACGGGAGAAGAAAAGCCATCGATCGTCTGTATGGCACATGGGAATCGAACTTCGCACAACTCCCCAATAAGCGAAAATTAATTATAAATGTATTTACGTGTTGTTTGTAACTATATTTATTTATTTATTTATTTATTTATGGTTACCTTTTATAATTTGCAGGTTTTTCGCTGAAGGGCGAATCTCGGTACAGTCGTTGAGTGGGAATGGCAGGGTGAGGAATGGAGAAGCAATCTCGAGACAGAGAATTCAGATTTGTCTTCTGGGTGTTCGGCCCCGCCATTCAAACCTTCCTTCTTTGTCCGCCGATTATTAGCATCGACGGCACGCACCTACGAGGTTCGTACAAGGGAAATCTACTTGTTACTTGCAAATTAATTTTTTATTTTCTAATTTACAATAGAGTCTAATAAAAAAAAAAAAACATATGTCCAACTGAGCAGGTTCGTACAAGGAGAAGCTGCTTGTTGCCATAGCACAGACCACGAATAAACGTCTATTGCCAGTCGCGTATGCGATTGTGGACGAAGAAAGCACGGCTAGCTGGTCCTTTTTCCTAACACATATGCGTCATCATGTTGTCCCCAATAGACCGATATGTCTTCTTTCTGATAGGGACAACGGCATATTGAGTGCCGTTGACTTACTGGAAACTTGGCACGAACCCTATGCGTTTCATTGGATATGCCTTCGACACCTCCGGAGCAACTTGTTTTCAAGGTACCGGAGTAAGAAAGTCCGGGGTTTGTGCTGGAGGTTGGGTTCACTGTGTTCTCACTGCAAATTTGAGCAGAGTCGACAAGAACTCCATGAATGTAACTCGGAGGTCGATGGGGCACTCTGACAACCAATATGTCAGAGAGTTACAACAATGTCCTCAAAGGTGTTAGGTTCCTGCCCTGCAGAGCGTTGGTACAGGCCACAATGAACAAGACTCTGGATTTGTTTGAACAGGAACAAAACAAGTCCAGAGTATGCAGGAGTCCCGTTCCTACCGACCTCTATGCCGCCTATCTGGTGTTGGAGAGGACAACGGCGACTCACGGGGTGCAATGTGTGGACGCCGACGGATCCCAGTACATGGTGACAACCGGTCTACGCGCCAATGGAAGAGGGCAAAACAAGTATGTATTTTTTAATTGGAATTTTTTTTCCATTCAAATGAGTTTTTTTTTTATATATATATAAATCATTGTGGAAAACAGGTTTAAGGTTGATTATCGGCAGCAGCGTAGTACTGTAAGAAGTGGCAAACACATCGGAAACCATGCTCTCATGCATTAGCCATGTGTCGTGACCGGCGTGATCCACCAAACTTGTTGTACGATTCCCACTTTTGGTCGGAAAACTGGGTGGCTCAATTATCTAATTGGAATTTTGCTCCAATTGAAAATCCTGACACGTGGCCGCGGGTGGGATGGAATTTGATTCCGCATTGGCAGAGGATCATCTAGAAGCTTGGACCCGGTCGCGCCCAAAAGAGAAGCTATAAAATGCAAATGGATCGTCGGGCGCGCCGCAGAAGGGGCCGGGATCAATGCAGTAGATGTGGTGATCCCGAACATTTCGCGAACCGTTGCCCGTATTCGCATCCTCCCACCGATCGAACTAGACTCCGTGATGATTGAGGGAACTAGATTTTTTTTGTATGTATTTTGACTGAATCGCATTGGTGAGATGAATATTTTGTATTTGGATGATTTTGTATTTGAATGATTTATATAATGTGTAATCGAATTTTAATTAGTCCAATTGAAGTCAAATTAGTCCAATTGAAGTTAAATTAGTGCAATCTCGGTCAATTATAGTGTAGTCGAACTCGAATTAGTCCAATTGAACTCGAATTAGTCAATTTGAAATCAAATTAGTACAATCTCGGTCAATTAAAGTGTAATCGAACTTGAATTAGTTCAATTGAAGTCAATTATAGTGTAATCGAACTCGAATTAGTCCAATTGAACTCGAATTAGTCCAATTGAAGTCAAATTAGTACAATCTTGGTCAATTATAGTGTAATCGAACTCGAATTAGTCCAATTGAACTCGAATTAGTACAATCTCGGTCAATTATAGTGTAATCGAACTCGAATTAGTCCAATTAAACTCGAATTAGTCCAATTGAAGTCAAATTAGTACAATCTCGGTCAATTAAAGTGTAATCGAACTCGAACTAGTCCAATTGAACTCGAATTAGTCCAATTGAAGTTAAATTAGTACAATCTTGGTCAATTATAGTGTAATTGAACTCGAATTAGTCCAATTGAAGTGAAATTAGTACAATCTCGGTCAATTATACTGTAATCGAACTCGAATTAGTGCAATTGAAATTAAATTAGTACAATCTCGGTCAATTATACAATTCCAGCAAGCACAAGAACTTCTGTACGTTTCTCTGACTGTTGGGGGTCAGTCGGTCACACAAGGGGAGTCGTCGGAGCAAATTCTATCTCAAGATGAGTACGCCCCACCCCAGCAGACACAGTCCCAGCGGGCGAGGCATAGGCCGGCGCCCCATATTGGTGGAGGGAGAAGACGCCGTGACCGCAAACCTGCCGCTGCATTCCCCAGAAATAAAGAAGACGAAGAAGGTAAGATTTTGTTATTTAACTACAAATATAAATTTTATTTTTGTTTGTTTTTATTTATTTATCCGGTCGAATTACTGATTTTTTACAAAAATTAATTAATTAGGTGAAGAAGAAGAAGAACCAGCCACGCCTGGACCGACCGCAGGATCGTCTTCTTTGGTACCGGGGCCTCGGAGAGGGTCCCGAAAACGCCAGCCGAAGAAAACATTTACTCCTAGTTAGTTTTTTGTATTATGTGAATTTGTGGACATTTTTTTTTTGTACTGGATTTTCAGATATTTATTCTTGATAGTTTTGAATNTGGCGGTAATTTTGGTTGTCTTTTT